GCTAAGAACTTCATTTGGACAACTTTAAAGATGATTTTCTCAATATTTAGATTTTTTTGCACCCTCAGATTCCAGATTTTCTAATAGTTGTATCTCAGCCAAATATTGTCCTATCCTAACAAACCATACATCAATGGAAAGATTATTTATTCAGCTTTCAGATTATGCATAAAGCTCAATTTTGAAAACTTGACCCTTATGACTGGTTTTGTGCTCCAGGGTCACATATTATGATTATATATTCAGTGGCATAAAATGGTCTTAAAATGACAATAATATTGTTTATCGCAATTATTTCTTGGCCAATATATCGCACGACAAAAAGTTATTATCGTGACAGGCCTACACGGCTGTCTGTCATAAGTGCCACTGTGCAGCAGTTTAGTTAAAATGTAAACAATTTTTAAGAATTAAGAATTGTTGAAGAAACAAACGCGATGCATCAGACAATCATTTTTGCCTCCCACTGCTAATCAGATATCTCTTACATATTCTGCACAAATCAGAGGACAGCTAGAAGCCCCTTAGAGACTTCTCACCTCAGTAGTGACTTTTAATTTTGCTCTACAACAAATACATTTGCAAATGTCTCACATTATTTCTCTTAGAAAATCTATTGGGTGTTGCATCACCAGCATTAGCCATCTCTAAATATAGTGATAGAAACAGTGTGCATTAATGAATTCTGCACAATAGCAGCAGGTGGACAATAAACTGTCACTTGTGATGTCATATTAACTTAATAGCTGTTGTGTGACAAACTGTGCAGATGAATTTCAAAAGAATGTACAAACTACCAAGGCTTATAGAAATACCTTTTGAAAAATGTGCAGCGCGTGTACCTCACCTGCAGGACACACTCGGACACCACGTCCTCGGGAACCTCTGGGAACTTTTGCCGCAGGTGATGCAGAACCTGAATGTCACTCTGCTGGTTTCCCTGTGCCATTCGTCTACTGCCAAAACGGAGCGGACTTGACCACAGCACTCGCTTATCTCAGCATCTTCTGCATTAAAGAGAGCAGAGGAGAAAAAAGCACATCCGTGAGAATGATGTCAGGCAGTTATAGTCCAATATGCAATGAATCACTCTAGGAAAGACTGAAAAGTTTAGATTAACAAGAGCCGCTAATGTCATAAAATCATGATTGTTTTCAAAGAGGTTTTCTGAAGACACTCCCTGTATTCTTATTGGTCAGTCCAAGCAGATGATCCCGCCCCAAACTCACACTATTGGCCAAGCCAGGCCTGTTGCGTTGGGCTGAGCCATCAAATCTCATTATCTGTGCGCTACTGGCACAGAAACTACACGGATAAATATTCACAAAAAAGTTTAAAAATGGTATCGCTAATGTTATTAAATTAAATATGTATGGAATCAGACTTCTGTAGTTGACAGTGATGCCTAGGGCTGTGCATTTGGTTGATTATTCAGACAAGAGTGACAGCAGAGGATATCTGTGCTGATTCTGGGGCAGAGACGGTCGCAGCAGAAATGTTTTTAGCAGCTGCTAAAATATAATTCCGCGCTTGAGGCCAACCGAAAGAGCTATAGCAGCCAAGTCACATGACATGATGAAGAGACATGATTGGTTTATTATATCACACCATTCCATTTTTTCCAATTTAGTTCAGTCATGCTAAAATCGTCTTCCCTGTGATTGAATTATAGAAGTGCATAGTGTGTGCCTCCATGATGCACGAGGCTCCTCATCGCTCAGTGTTTTCAGCTTCAGAGCGCTGCAGCAAACTCCATCTCTGCATGTGTTTTGGATTAATATGAATTTGGGAATGCAATGTGCACCAATTACACTACTTTCCAACATTTTTGTAGACCATAGAAATCAAATCAATATTTTGCGTAGCGAGGAGGCGGCTAAATAAGCATTGTAATTGTTTTTTTTTTTTCATATATGGTTAGGTGCCTTTAAATGGGTTGAAATAGTTCTGAGAGGTTTCACTGCTGTTCACATGATGTTTGCTCCTGATAATACACCCACATTAAACTCAAATGGTACCTTATGACATACTGGAGTCAAACGCAGGGTTATATCACCGGTCAAACGGTGCGGAAGCAAACACAAGAGTGCTACTCATTTGAACCGGACCATTTATCAGCTCAGCCCAAGCTCAGAGCACTGAGATCCAGAACCGAGCCGTCGTTCTCACAGCACTGCCGCTGAAAACAGGAGAAACAGGCTCAACTCGAATAAGAGAAATGTTGCTTGTTTAAAACATGTTTAGTAACACTGTGATTTCAGTGTCAGAATGGCCAGTGATGATGAAAGACGAGCCTGCAGGAATGATTACAGAAGTAATGGAAGAACATTACAGTCATTCTTTGTTTTGAAGCTAGGGCATTTATATTTATACTAAACGTCTTTAGGCTATTTTTTAATACTACAGGTTTATAGAAAAGGATATTAGCTCATGTGAATTTGTGCTAACTTCTGCTGAAAAACTATGAATAACTTCCAATGCAGTAAAAAAGTATCTTTGGGAAAGCAGGGTTTTGTGTGACAAAAACAACAACAACTGTTTTACACTTCTTAAAGGGTTAAAGCAATTTCAGATATTAGCCCAGAGACTATTTCACTGGCTTAGTTACTGTATTCATCTGTTGTGCAATCTGTTTTGGAAAAAGAAAGAGGGAGGAGACGAGGGACATTTCTTTTTACAGTTTCTGCCCCAAGGCTGAAGACTTGCAAAACAAAAAAGCAATGTAATTTTTATAAAGTGCCAGTGATGTTTGGTTGTTTGAGGTACAGACCGCTTGGCAAAACAGAGTTAAACGAAATGAACCGCTGCCTTAACAAGAGCTGCACCTTCTGCCACACAATCAACACAAGAGAAAGATGAAACACCAGTGCTGTAGTCCAGCTCCACAATTAACATAGCACTATGTTTTGGCGAATAAAGAAACCTGGGTTATTTATAAGTGCTTTAAGAGAGATTGAATTATGCTCACTGAGAAATTAAACCTACTAAAGTAATCAGCTGCAACTGGCACGTTCAGGGTTTTTTTTTTTTTTCAAATGAAATCTGTATCAACAAATCAATCTTTGCTCTGCAGAAACGGCACAGAAGCTGCATCTGAAATGCCACACAGACTGTTTAATGTAGAGCCCGATCGATATGTTTTTTTTGGGGCCGATACCGATATTAGGGAGTTAAAAAAAGGCAGATATTCTTCGTGTATATTATAGTACAGTACCAGTCAAAAGTTTGGACACTTTCCCATTCGTGTGTCCAAACATTTGACTGGTACTATATATAGAATACAGTATATACATAAACAGAATAAATATATATATATATATAACACATTTTTTGCAATGATCACTCAAATGTGGTGATCAAACACTTATAATGACGTGACAGAGATACGTAACATAATATACCTCTGTAAATAAATACAACATAAATAGGGATGCACCGAAATGAACATTCTTGGCCGAAGCCGAAACCGAACAAAATTAAACACTGCGCCGAAGGCCGAATACCGAACACGGTTTTTCGAGTTTTTTTCCCCATGTATTTTGCCAAAAAAAAAAAATCACCATTCGATAAATTAAAAAGTCAAAATGGGCTTTTTACTGTTTTGTCTTGTTTTTCAAAGAAATGTCTTTTCGCTTATTCGATTCGGTTCGGTTGCCGAACATTTGGTGCATCCCTAAATATAAATTCACGTCTCGCGCACTTTAATGCCCTTTGAATGTAACGTGTACGTTCCCTTGGAACTGGAATCATGGCGGAATATCATCTGAAGTCCACTTCGCGGGGCACTTGCGGTCGAATAAGACCACGCTTGAATGCTGTTGCCTGAACAAGAGACCTCCTTACTGAAGGGAAAGTGTTGACTGGTATCTCGCGAACGCGCCGGCGGATCTCCACCAAATTCGGGGGATCCCTTCAGCTCGAGGAGCCCTCTCGAACGCCACCCTCCGGGATCGCTAGATCGGTCTGCGCCGGACCGCGAATTTAACCACCCATAACTCCCGAACCCCGGGGGCTATCGACGCGGGGGTGGTCTCATTCGAAAGCGGGCCTCTAGACGTACACTCGATTCGCGTTCGAGAGGGTTCCTCGCGCTGAAGGGATCCCCCGAATTTGGTGCGGATTCGCCGCACCCTTACGGAGATATGGCCATTCAAAGTTTCAATGATTTTCCTTAAGCTTTAAAGCGTTTCATCCAGGTCGCAGTAGCAAACAATGGAGCGCGCTCTGCTGGACAAACTAAGTAATTACACCATTTCAAGCATTTTATCTGCGTTATATGTTCTGTAAAAAAAAATTTCATATCGGCGACAGGCTCATATCGGCCGATAATATCGAATGAGCAGCTGGCTAGTAAATGTCCTTTTCTTGCTTCAAATTTGATAAAAACGTCTTTAAAGTGCTTCAATTTGATTTGGTATTATAAAGTTCAGCCCAAACAACAACATGAGTTTAGAGCTAAGAACTACTTCTAGGTGTTTTTCATACCTTTTATACTATCATAATTGATACTGATACTAATAATACTTTTATTCAATAGTACTTTGTATTCTAATCATTTTGTTGGTATACATCTTCTCATAAACCTTTACTTAAAAAAAAGATACATTTTCATTGTGCCCCCAGTTTTTTTAATGTCTTCCTAAACTTTGGGAGCATGTGGTCCTTGGGACGACACCAAGTGTGTCAAGGTCCTGTCAGGCAAGCTCATGCAATTTAAGGTCAAAAACCTGAATGTTCAATCCAGATTTCAAGAAGCTGAATGCAAATTTGGCACAGAGAACGATCAAATTCACTCATTGGTACCAACTGCTGGAATTTTGGTACCGTGACAAATTAAATTTAAGACTTTTTAAGACCTTTTTAATACCACCTTATGTGAAATTTAAGACCAAGCCTGTGATGGAAATACACATTATATTACATACGTATATGTAATATTTAACGCGTTTAAATATAAAAAGAAAAAATATCATCGCTGTCAAAAATTCTATTTGTTATTACGATATACAGTGAACTTTTCATATCAGCAGACAATATCCCATACAAAATACTCCCACAAAAATATTCCCTCGGTCGCATCACCGAGATTTTTGGTGGTGTAAACAATTTATTCTGAAGCAATATTTTCATCAGTTTTCTGTCAGCTTTTACATACTTAAATCTGCATGTTTTTAATATTTACCACAGGATGTCATTTACCTTTATAAAGGCCAATATTTCTTTTAAGCATGAGACTAAACCGCCAGTAGGTGGCGGCAAGTCACTTATCCATTCAACCGATTCCTTCAAACCTCTGAATCATTCAGTAACAAAAACGC